TTCCCATTGGTTACTATCCTAGGTTACTACGTTGCCATTTTGATTTTGTGTTAACTAGTGTCGAAATTCTTTAAAATTCATGAACTGCATATAACGTTGCATTTTTATTAAATTAGTGGACAAAAGGGGCTTTGGTAGATTTAGTAGTCTTCAATAACAGCATTGTATTTTGAAAACTAAAATGGAGCAAGGAGAAGGTACGACAGATTTCTGGATCCATAACTTGTTGGTATGAACAATTACGGAGAGGATTTTATATAATTTGACATTCTTTCTAGTAATTTATGTAAAATACCATTTCAAACACGAGGAGGATCTGTTTTAAATAATAAATTATGCATATTTGATTATTCGGAGAAACATAATTCACCCATAGTTTGTTGCTTTCCATATAATTTTTTAATATGATAATTAGTACGAGTTTTGCAAATATTTAATAAGGTACCGCAATGTTGTTTTAAATACACAAAGTGAGTCTAGGTACTAGAAATTCAATCTGTTGTTCTTAATATTTGAGAATAATTTTATTTAATAAATGAGGACACTAAAGTTTTTCAATTTATGACTTATTTGATATTTTTATTTTCATCCTGTATAATTTTAGAATACCAACGACCTTTTAATGGCAAAACCAGCAAACAACATAATGTATTACCATTATGGGGTAACGAGCAGTCCATGAATTTAAATCCATTGATTTTGGCAAACATTCAAAGTTCGAGTTACTTCAAAGGTAGGTATGGAAGTGTATCAATATGTAATAAAATACATAAAACAGTATAATACTGTTGTACTATACAATACGAAGTAAAATATATACAATGAATTCAATTTTACTATCAACTAAATATATATAATTATACTAAACTATTTGCAGTACATTTATTCAAATTGAAAACCTATCATGAAGTTGTTGATGAAATATACTATCAAGTAAAACATCTTGAGCCATGGGAGAAAGGGTCTCGAAAAACAGCAGGGCAAACTGGAATGTGCGGTGGTGTGAGTGATATTACTGAATAATTCTTTGATTTATTATATAATAAACCATTGGACTAAATATTGTTATGTATATATTGTAGGTTCGTGGCGTAGGTGCGGGTGGAATAGTATCAACAGCATTCTGCCTTTTATATAAGTTGTACACATTAAGGTTAACACGAAAACAAGTTAATGGTTTATTGACCCATACTGATTCTCCATATATACGTGCTTTAGGTAATATATATATTATCTTCAATTTTAATCGATCAATTACTAATTTCATTAATTCTACATTCAGTAATACAATTGTAAAATTTATTCATGGATTGAAAATATGAATATCCACATTCAACATTTTATTTTGGCAAATTTAACATTGATTTTCTTTATTGAAGGTTTTATGTATATAAGATATACCCAACCCCCTCCCGATCTATTTGACTGGTATGAAGAATACTTATGCGATGAAGAAGAAATTGATGTAAAAGCTGGTGGTGGTCAAATAACAACAATTGGATCCATTCTCAGACAATGGCTTGTAAAACTAGATTGGTTCTCTACTCTATTCCCACGTATTCCAGTTCCTGTACAGAAGCAGATAGAACAACGCCTTGCTGAATATGATCGACAAAATAAAAAGCCAGAAGTATATAACTCTCATTATAATAACAGAAATGATAATTATAATCCACGTGATAATGCTTCACGCAGTCGTGATGATTCTGGGAATGCAAGAAATTTTGGAGAAGCTGAAAGATATGCAAAAGACAGAAATGAAAGATACAATAGAGAACATGAGCGAAGTAGAGATCGACATGGAGAACGTAGCTCAGGTAGAGATAGAGATCGGTATTTAGATCGTGAGCGGAGTTCACGTGACTATCGAGAGAGAAGTAGAGAAAAAGATAGGTCAAAACATAGGAGCGATCATTCCAGAAATAGAAGCAGATCTCGAGAGAGGCACAGACGACACAGATGAACAAATGAGTAATGTTTTCAGTCTATTTTATTTTAAAATGGTGATTAAATTCTCAGTATTTTCTTTTAAATATCGTACAATTATTTTTTTATATTTCTTTTAGTATGGAAATCAAATTTAAAGTAATGAGCCAATTCTTTTCTATTTCTGTATTTTTTGTGTAATAAATATTGAAAACATGTGTTATATTTTCTAGTTTGGAATTCATTATTGAATGGAAAACTCATTCTATTAATGCTGATTAGTACTGAAAGTTTGTACAATGTGTTGAAGCTCTGAAATAGATCTTTCTTTAATACTCATAATTTTGTCATAAATATATGTACAAATTTATTTGATAAATTTAAATTCAAATTCACTAAATTTAATATTTCCAATTAACTAGCTCTTGTTCGTAGATTCTGCTTTTAATAATTCTGTTTCCACATCATGCAAGACATTTAGTTCCAGATAAGTTAATAAACTTGCACTCAATGTTTGCAATGCTAAAATTATTGATATACTTGTTGTTATTGGCTTTGTAAATTTCCAAAACAGTTTAACTACTTCTTTAGGATTCCGGAATGGAGGTACATTGTATGTAAGATAATTGTTAGCATTCTGCAATAATAATAAAAATAATTTACTAACATGTTAATATTATTATGCATGATTGATATTAAAATTGAATAGGCATGGTAATGTTAGTAATAATTCATATATGACTTGGCTCAAGCTTGGAAATGACCATGAGTAATAACTTGCCTATTCAATAAAAAAATCATCGGGCTATATATATATATAAATTCAAAATACAAATACCACAAATCCTGCAACTGGACTAAGTATCACTGGATATAAAAGCCCAAGAAAAGTCTGCCCTGCTATAGCCCTTACCTCCAAGCAAACTGGACATTGTGTTTTATGTAGAAGAATATCAGACGTCACAAACTAAAATCAATTGCAACATATATGATATAAGAAATATACTGCATCAATATAATGAAAATGAACTCTTATGTACAGTTGACGTTAATGAAATACCTGCATATGAAAAAATGATCCAGCTATTGTAGGTAATATTACATTAGGTAAAAAACTAGACAATTTACCAAAGGTTCTCAACTTTAACTTCTGTCTGTAATGATTATTCAAATAAAAACCTGCAAGGCCACAACAAAATCCTGAAACTGCTGCACCGTATCGCAGAGGTAATCTGGAAAATATAATTTGATGTTGAACATCATATCATTTATTAGCATTAGATATTATCATTACACTTTTGACTGTTCTTCCCAATTCCATATTAACTTCCACTGATATTGGAGAGCTTCGTCCTCAGTTAGTCGAATAGCATCTTTTGGTGGTTCACCTTTAGACCTTACTAATGCCATTATATTATATGAAATTTACTGCTTTATTCATAAATCATTTGTGATTTTACATTAGTTTCCCAGTTAAAAGTTAAGCAAACAAATATATTTATACCATAAGTTTTATGGTTACTACTTTCAATTTTGATATTGGCAATAAATTAATTATCTAACAAATAATTATAAAAAACGTATACTATTTGATATTTAAAATTAATTATGTAATATGATTTTAATTTAAAATTGTATAAATTCTTTAAAAATTGAGGTTGAAATCAAATAAAATGGTTGCCCGATGCGATAAAATACTCCGTCGAGTATTCATGATGCACAAACATTAATTGAAATTAAAAGAAGTTGAAGAAGTTTAAATTCTTTTATTCGATTACTTATACATGAAGAATCTAAATATCATTTTAAAATCTCGTTTTATAAATTTAAAATAAAATCATAGGTGAGAACTGAAAGAGTACGCTGGCAACACCTATACTTTCGCATAATAATAAAAATGACGTTCCTTGGGTTAGTGGAAGCAAGTAGTTGTTGAAGAGGAGTTATACCGTGTTGTTTTGTGCTTTTAATTTTAAATAAATGGAATAATTTGTTTGTAGCCCCTTTTGCATGATTTTGTGAATAGCGCCGTTCATTTAGTACATGCTTTTAAAAGTTAAAAGTTTTAAGTGTATTAAAATTTATAAATTCGCTGTTAAAGTCTTGGCGCTTTAACCGAATGCAGTGCAAGTTATGAGAAGTGCATCTATATCTAATTTTAAAACATAAGAGTGTTAAAGTTAATTCATTATTAACTTAATATTATTCCCCTTTGTCCACTTTACTCCCTGTGACTATGGCAACCGTAAACAGAGAGTAAACCATTCGTTGCGGTTGTTTACAGTTCGCAAATATTGCATCTCGGTGTCTATATTTTTTATGCATTCGAAGTGCCAGTGTTTTTCAGTGAAAAACTATGATGAACGTCTCATTTAACGATTTCATAAGGGGTTTACTAAGAGGGATGTAGAAAATTTGGTTTTGGTTAATCGAAATGAAAGTGACCGTGTGTTTTGACTCAGTGCGCATTGTTGTGCCCTGCGGTGCAGGTGAACTACTCGTCAGGGATTTGATCAGAGAGGCTATAAGGCGGTATAAAAAAGCATCGGGAAAGGTAAAATATAATGTTTAATTATTCTTTTTATCGTATCTCGTTAATACTTTAACCTGATTAATTCGTATTTTTTATTTGCATTTTAAATGTTTACAATAAAGACCGGTTGTAATTTTTTAAATGCACTGAACTTGCTAATTTGTTTATATGTGTCTACATATATAGTGTGTGTGTATATTTGGATACAATTTTTCAACCCATTTAAAGCACAGATCAACCCATTTAAATGCTTCGATAAAACATTCGATTCCTATTGGTGGAAAGATTAATTTCCGCCCAATTTCGTCCCGCCCCGTTTCGAAAATATGGGGCGAAAAGAGATAAAAATGGCAAATCAGTTTTTGAGAGAATGGTGCGTCACATTTGAATGGCTCAAAAAACATTACAACTTATATTGAAGAAAAGAAGAATTGGTTAATTTTTTTCTAAGGCAGGACCAGGGGTTTGAAGATCCAATAAACAAAATTTTAAAAAATGCTGAATGTATTCGTATATACTATTAAATTTTCAATGTAATTTTTGATGCCTAGAGAGATGATGTTGTGAATGAAAGTGATATGAAAAATTTGAAAGAAAAATATGTATATGTGTGTTTGATATATTTTAATAAGTGTTATTAGTATTAATTTCTTACAAATTAAATGAGTTGTTAATTGTTATAGATACATAAATATAATTTATTTTATCATATTAATGCGTTCCAGATTTATACGCCTCTTTATTCATATCTATGTTAAACCACATGCAACTAGTGTTTATATATGAAATGATTTAAACATGGTTCTTTATATAAAAACATGATTAATTAATCTATTAAAAAGAAACTTGCTCAGTTATATTGAAACTAGCAAACCCGACGAACTCCGTTTCGCCACCAGATGGTTTCGTGAGAAAGATGAAGAAATTTTTTGTTTGTTTTATATTTGAAAAGGAAAAATTTGATTTTATTATACAACAGTAATGAATTTATTTCGATTACAAAAATGAGGTGTTTTTTAGTTGAAGTTCTCTAAGTAAATGAAAGTGAATCCGTAAATTATCCGTTTCATTGAAGTGCTCTTTGGTAAACCACATTTTTTGTTTTTTGGTCTGACGTTAACATAAACAAAGCGGATGGTTTTCCAACTCGTTAACAGACAACGTATAACTGCCCATGTGAAAAACAATCTCACAAAGTTTTGCTAATGTTTGTTGTCAATACCAGAAGACCATTAACTTTTGTCGTCAATAAAACGTTTTTCTTTAGTTTTATTGCATATATTAGTATTTGTGAATATTTGCGCCGAATATTATTATATTTTGAATTTATTTATGTTTTGCGTAATTTGAATTGACACAGTCACCTGTTAGCCGAGAGTCCGTTGGACACGGTCTGCTGGCGCTCTAAGTACCCTACAGAACGCTTTGCACCGGAAGATTCTCAAACTTACCTAAAATAATTGAAATATACCAATAATTTCATGAAAATAATAATGGAAGTCTAATTTGGAATCGACATCTTTCTGAAATAGATGTATATGAAAGGTTAATATTTTTGTATTTTTAACTAGTTCTTATGGGTAATTGCATGCACCGTGTATAAAATAAATTTTCTTTTTCCTTTATATTCAATGAATTAATTATTTTAATATATGTCGAATCTCAGTAAGAGGTTTTTCATTATGTTTCTGTTTTTAATTTTATTTGAATACAATCGAGGAAGGAACTAGGGTGTATGACCATAGCAATAACCCCTCTGGACGCGTTCACTGGAATTCCGTTGTTCGATGTCATAACATATCATCCTTATATCTAACGGACATTTGTTTTCCAAATGCAATAATTCTTGAATTACAGTTAATATATTTTTGTGCAGGATAGTACTAATTTTTCAATAAATTAATCAATCGTTTTCATATAGCAATGCTTAATGTTTAATTTTGCTATAAATATAGCTTTTCAACTGAACCCTATATAAAAATGTTAATTAAAAAGTTTATTTTTCTTAACAGCATCTTTGTTTGTCGATATTAGTGGAGAACGCTAAATGTAATTCAATTAATAATAAAATTATTAATTGAATAGATAAAACTGTAAAAAATAACGCGTTTGTGACTAAGACCTACATTATAGCGTAAATTCTCCACTAAAATAGACCGTAATATATTAGTGTTCTTTTTGCTTGTTTCATTCTTTGCTTTAAGTTAAACATTAATAATTTTTATTTAATATAATTAACTTCCCGCAGGGTAAGTTATTGAACTCATTCAAAAATCAAAAATGAAATTTTTTGCATATCTTCACGTTTTGAAGGTTTCTGTACATTTTGGCATACCTAAGAAAAAATGATATGTGTGTGTAGGTATGGATACAATTTTTAGTCCACGTTTTCGGGCGGATTAACTGATTAACTTATTTGAATGATTCAAGAAACAATCGATTCCTATTGTGCTGATTAGTTTTTGGCAAAAGTAGGTCCAGCCGTTTTGGAGTTACAGAGCAAAGAGTGCAGAAAAAGAAATCAAGTTTTTGAGAGAACAGAGTATCCGATTTTAATGATCCAAAAAACATTCAATTCCTAATGATGGGGAGATGTGGTGATTAGTTTTTGGCAAAGGCAGGTCCATCCGTTTTGGAGATTCGGAGCAGAATGTGCAAAAAATGGCAGATTTTGAGAGAAATAAGCATCCGATTTGAGTGATTCAAAAAACTTCCTGCTTGTGTTGACGAAACGATTATTTTTGGAAAAGAAAAAAAAGATTTTTTTATTTCAATTTTTTTTTTTTATTTCCAAGTGGATGTCCAACGCCGTGCACCACTAGTTTATTATTTGCTTCAAGTTACTTGTTATACATATATACTTTATCTCAGGTCATTTGTGGACCTTTTTTTGCACAGATTTATTCGTTCTGCAGAACAAAAATATTTTTTGTCCGACAAGACAATGTGTCGGTTAGGTCAAATTGAACAAAACCTTAATTTTCTGACAATACAAACTATCCGAAAAAAAGTCCCAGTATGCAAAAAAAAGTTGGTTCTTCGAAGCTTATTGTAATTCTACACGCGACAAGTGTTTCTTTTCGTATAAAGAATAAAAATTCATCAGAATTCAAAAATTAAATAAATTTGTCATCCGTTTCCTGAATTAAAAAAAAAACATTTTGTCGAAATGCTAACATAAAATATTGTGTTATTCCGATTTACATTTAAATTTTATTCACATGATTTTTTATTATTATTTACATGTAAATGTTTTGATTTAATTGTTTGCTTTTTTATTTAATTATAACTAGATCTTTTTTATTTTTTAAGAAGCAATTACAAACTGTTTTTATAATACCACAAACTTTTAGTAATCGTGAAGAACAATATGCAAAGATAAAACCAAGAGTTTACTCCCTTTTTATGTTGATAGAAAAGATGGTTAAATCTAAGAGACCTTTTAGATAGAATTATAATTTAGTTAGAATTATAACTAGGTAAGCACTAAAAAAAATTATCATTAGAATAGTCATTAGAAATAAAAGCTAAAAATTCTACACAGGAATTATTTTCTTATAATAAAATTATATCGGTCTGCCAATTGTTGATATGGCATTTAAAATTTATAAAAAAGCATTTAAAGGTAAAATTGACAAATCAAGTTCATAATCTGTTTGAAAAAAAAATGACAAAAAACAGCATACAACAATTAATAAATACCATTAACTTCCATGAAATAACGCAATAACGCTTCGCCAAAATAAACAGCCCAAGGTCGATTGTTTATGCAACATTTAATAGATGTCCACCGACTCAATAATGCCGCCTACCATTAAAAAATTGCAGAGCCAAATTGTAATTCAAATTATAAAAATAATAATGGTTCCAGTCGCAATTTTCGCTTTTATTTTAACGGTAGCAGAAAGACTCTGGTTGTTTTTAAAGTTGATATCCGTTTTCTTTGATTTATGGTCTTACACATATTAACCAACAATAAATTATTTTTAATATATTTAAGATAAGTTTAGTAAAAGACAATGTATAAGCACAATTATTAAAGAGTCATATAGGGGCATGTAATAAAAATCTATGAGTGGTTCCATTTAAGCTACAATTAATTAATATTTATATTTTTATTATAATATTTTTTTATAAATTATAATAAATGTTTGTAGTAAGGTTGTAAAGAAAACATTTGATTTAACATGTTTTGTTAAAATCTTATTTATAAAATAATTTTTTTTATATATTATCTTGTTCGTTACAATACTAATAGTTACCGAAATTTGAATCTCCACGTCTGCCCCTAGTTTTTTTTTCAAATATCATTTCTTAGTATTTAACAATGGTAAAATGATATTGTTCCTACATTTTATGGATATCGCATAGCAAAGTTAGCCGCCGATGAGGTCCACATGTGGTATAGTTATTCTTTGTCGGGCCAAATGTAAGTAAGGGTATGTGGATGCATTTTTAATGTAAACCATGATTATTAATGTCTTACATTTTCTTAATTAATATTCAATTATGATGTGAACTAATCACATTTTTTACCAATTACCCTTTACAAAAAAATATATATGGCATCGATGCTATAGTAAGCTTTCAAGACAGGCATTAAAATCACCAATCAAAATTTTTTAGTGAAAATTCATATCAATATTGAAGTAAAAAATATTTTAAGTAAAAATTTATTGAGAATTGAATATAATTATATTAATCTATGTTCATCTGAAATGATTTTATCAATTCATTTATATATCTTACTATATTATAGCCTTGAGGCAAGTTACACGAGCTTCCCGAAATGTGTAATAATTGACTTAATCAACCGAATTGTGTTTTAGATATTTAGATAAAATTTTTAACTATAAAATTTGTAAATAAAGTTATCGTTAAATCTAAACATTGCGATTTCCAATAGAATTTTCTCAAACAATGCTGCACAGATAAGTGCAGCATTGTTTGTCCTAAAATTGTAGCTTATTATTTTAAATTTTAATGAATTGATGATGTT